TGTGCTATGCTATAGCAGCAGGGTTGTATGTATGGTGTGGAGGTATCGTCTTGTATGTACCTAGCCATCCGCTGGCTGCTTTCACCTGTGAGGCCGCGCGTGCTATAGCAGGTGTGTTGTGGAGGTTGTGTGTATTTGACCTTTGCATCCGCTTGGTGCTTCACCTGTGAGCGACGTTGATGCTAGCAGGTGTGTGGTTGTGAGCGTATGTGTGTCTACGATCGCTGGTGTCTTCACCTGTTGAGGCTGCCGGGAATGATGCTTAGCAGCGTGGCTGTGTGTATGTGGAGGTATGTGTGGTATTTACCTGCACCCTGGTGCTTCACCTGGTCAGAGAGTGGTTTGCCGTTGTTGGATGCCTATAGCAGGTGATGGTGCTATGTGGCACAGTGTGTGTGTATTTACCTGACATCCGCTGCGCTGCCCTTCCACTGTGACGGCCGCGTAGATAGACCTAGCATGGTGCTCTCGATGGTCGTGGAGGTTATGTGCTGGTATTTACCTGGACATCCGCGGCTGCTTCCCTGTGATGCCTGCGCGGATTGCTTATAGCATGGTGTGTTATGTGGAGGTATGTATGTAAGTTTACTGCATCGCGCTGGCTGCATTACCTGTGAGGCCTGCGTTGATGCTAAGGCAGCCCGTGTGTGTGTATGTGGAGCTCTATGTTAATTGTCTTTACTGCCATCGTGGTGGCTTCACCTGTGGAGGCTGCGTGATGCTAGCCAGGCTCTGTCAGGCTCCTAGCCAGCATAGATAGATTCAATGTGATAGCCTGTCCTGCTTTCTTGCTTCCACAACGTTCCATCTATTAACTCAGTGCTCCCTTTCCTAGGAACAGCGACGGTGTCTGGGTTGAGTCACACCTGCACTCAGACCTTACATAGAGGATAGAAGAGTGACGAGAGAGCGAGAGAGAGAGTATGAGAGAGAGGAGAGATGTAGAGAGAGCGGAGATAGGAGGGAGGGAGGAGACAGGCGGGGGGATCGAGAGGGAGAGAGAGAGAGAGAGATAGACGAGAGCGCCGAGAGAGACTGAGAGCGCAGGAGATAGACGAATGAGGAGAGAGGCAGGGGGAGGGAGCAGACGAGACGAGAGACGGTCTTTTCGGAGTGAGAGAGAGAGAAAGGATTAAGATGAGACAGAGAGAGGAGGAGAGAGAGCGCACGAGGGAGAGCGAAGAGAGAGAAAGAGAGACATAGCAACGCAACACTCCTCACGCACGCACAGCACACACGCACGCACGCACGCACGCACGCACGCACGGCACGCCTCAGCATCGCCAAACGCACAGCACGCAGCACGCACTCACGCACGCACGCACGCACGCACGCACGCACGTACCTCAGCACGTCCCAGTTTGTGTCGGCGGTGAACGTGACCTCCCAGTATCGATCATCCTTGACGCTGACCTCTGTCGAAGGCGGTCAGGATCGAGTGGCGGATGCGCCGTGGGCAGGCTGTTTTCCGTGTAACACTGGTCTTTGTAGAACGGTGTGTCCTGGAGAGAGAGAGAGAGACAGGGATAGGAGACACAACGGTCAGAGAACATACATACATTCACGTGTAAATAATTAAATATATATATGTGTTATATGCGTGTGTGTGTGTGTGGATGTGTATGTGTAATGATTTGTTGGCGGGTTTGTCAGTCATCCACCATGTCTACCAAATCCACAAATTATAAAAATTAATTTATCAATAATATTATAATTAAGAAAAATTAATTATCAATAATATTATAATTAAGAAAAATTAATTCATCAATACTATTATAATTAAGAAAAATTAATAATTATAAATAAAAGAAAAAAATATTTATCAAATTTTAGATCTCTAACCTTATCGCTCTGGCCCGCGAAACGGAATCTCTGACCTTGAACTTTGCGTGAAGGTGAGCGAAGCACGCGCGTGAATTATCCACGTCTCTGGGGAGACGTGATAGTCTTCCGGCTCTGCCGCACATGATGTAGAGCCATGACGCACACGACCTCTGAAGGTCCGATAACTATTGTTATCCGTTGCTGTGGATGGGAAACTTGGGGAAGAATGCACACAGCATGGCTGCTATGGCTCTGTCACTCGTGCTCAGCGTGTATCTGTCAACACATGCAGCCAACGTGTCACCCGTTAACTCTAGCACTGTCGATCACCGCGTAGAATACATTACATGTTATCTAACCTGAGTGATTATATGTCCCCTAACCATGACTCTATTCTAATGCTAACCTTAACTCTATCCTAATGCTAACCTTAACTCTATTCTAATGCGAACCTTAACTCTATTCTAATGCCCTACCTTAACTCTATTTCTAATGCTAACCCTTCTATCCTAATGCTAACCTTAACTCTATCCTAATGCTAACCTTAAACTCTATCCTAAATGCTAACCTTAAACTCTATCCTAATGCTAACCTATATGCTATCTAATGCTAACCTATACTTCTATTGCTTTTTTTTTTTAAACAATTTTTGCGTTAACCTTACTTATTTTTAATGCTACTTAAACTCTATTCTAATGCGAACCCTAACCCCTTACCTTAACACGAACAGTAACACTAACCCTAACCTCAAACTAACACTAACCCTAACCCTACCTCAACTCTAACACCAACCTTAACACCTTAACCTTTACACTAAACACTAACCCCAAATGCCAACTCAACCTAACACTAACACTAACCCCAACCTTACACCTACCTACCTATAACATAACCTCAACACTCATCTAACCTCTACAACGTTAAACTTCTACCGGTCACCTCTAACCTAACCTCTGACCTCTAACCTACCGTCCAGCACCGAGGAAGAGCAGCCCGATGGCCCATGTGTGTGGCGAGGTGAGATCGTACAGCACGTGTGCGTGCGCCTGCCCCCGTGCGGCGTGCAGCAGACGACACACACGCAGCACCTCCACGTTACCCGTCCCCGACATCACCTGCAGCAGATGACACCTCGTTACCACGGCGATGCGTCAACGACGAACGATCGTCGACAGCGAGTTTTGTTTTGGAGGGGAACACACGATTGACGCTCTATGATAATAATGCCTTTCTTTGTAAGGGAATGATAGCTGCTGCATGATGACACTACTGTTCTTTTAAAGGGAACGATACTCTAGGATAACGTTTATTTGCAAGGGAACAATATTCTATGATAACAATTTTTTAATGGAAATGATACTCTATGATAAAAATGCTCTAGGAGCAATGGCATATTATCAGTTAAAGTGTGTTGTTGTTCATATGTTTGTTCTCTCTCACCATGGCTAACGACAGTACGATGACGTTCATGCATGTTTCTATCGTGTTCCTTCCCGCCTGGTCCGCTATGCTCTTGTTCTCAATCTTGATGGATTTCAACGCGTACTTGTGCTGAAACAGAACAGCATCTGTATCACCACGACGATCACCGCACCTACTGCCATCTGTGTAATGGTATTCGACAAGTCTTGGTTGTAGTTAAGATGATTTATTAAGCACGAACGAAGTTACAACGTTGACAGGGGCGCTGCCATGTTGGATTGCTTTACTCACGTACAACGCTCATAATAGATGGCGCGTCGGTGCAGTGTATAAAATAATATGAATACTGCTACAAAAGGAACTTACCTTACTTACATTTTTTTAACGCAGTGGCTACGGGTAGGGTAGCCGTCGGTCGTTGAAGCCCCTTTTTGGCGTTAGGGTTAGGGTTAGGGTTAGGGTTAGGATTATGGTTAGGGTTATGGTTAGGGTTAGGTTTAGGGTTAGGGTTAGGGTTCTAGTTCATCTAAACTCTCAAATCGTGAATTTATTTCCCAAGGCGTTATTTCGAAATCTGGCGCCACCGCCGCCATCTTTGTCTCGTTAAGTATGAAAGCGAATGGACTCCCGTACCCGTAGCCTCGAGACATTAAGATACGGATACCGTACCCGTAGCAACTGCCTTTTTTAATTTCAACACTTGACCATGATTAAATTGATTTGACATAGTGACGTCCAAAGTCAGTGTCAGGAATCCTACGGAGCAACAGGTTACCTTCTCGCTTCTCACTACGTGAAACAGTCGCAGAGCCTGGTCGACCCAGCTCCTATGGAATTTTCACGCCCATATGTTTACTCTACTAGCAGTAACTACTCTACTAGCAGTAAACAAGGTTGATCCGCTACTAGATTGACCCGTTGTCTTGTTGAGTCAGCAACATACCATGTTCGACCGACAAAGTACTGCCCAAGTGATGATATGAGGTCCCCATCTAACTCCATCCCGGATGTGTCACCGCTCTATGTTGGCGCGTTAGTATGTATTTATAAAGTCTGCTTGTTTCAACCAATATATATATATCTGTATATAATAACAGTTATTATATATGGTATCTGTTATTAAAAGTTACTATAATAGTGATAGCTGTGTCAATATGTCCGCGCCCTTGGGAGGTTGGAATGTATATAAACAGCCTTACTCTTACTCTTAGCTATTTGTGGTGCTTTCCTTTGTGATAGTATATCAATAAATACTTCAAAGAATAGAAAATATCGGAATCCAATTGTCCACCGTTCACTGAACTTAATCTACCTAGAATTTATAAGTTATATATTATAAGTTATCATGGAGTTTTTTTATGTTACCGATGGACGGCGATGCATGTACAAACAGTATTTTTGTTTAAAATAAACTTGTGAAAGTGTATGGTATAACATATTACGTATGGTGGTAGGAGAATGTTTGAGGTAGATCCTGAGCTCTGGTTTGTTGAATTCAACATAATAACTAAGGCCCAAGTTGATTAGGGCTAGCAAACGTTGGATTTCCAAATTTAGCCGTGCAATCTCGTTTGTTTTTATTTAATCCTGATCATAAAAACAATAACGAAATAACTGCGGCGGAGCGAAGGGATATACTATAGTACTAGAGCTAGGTTTTGGTCAGAGAAAATTCGTAGTCGTACTAAGTTAACGGCTACCGAATATCTGACTGTCAACGCCCATCACCGTATCTAAGTAATATTAATAGTACTAATAGGCCTAATACTGCATATCGCTGTTGCTCAGCATAGATATAATCAAGAGCTAATAATACCTAGAGTGTACAACGGAAAACGGGAAAATAATGCTATTTCACGGCAATATTGTTCTACTTTGCCTGCGAGTCTAGAATAATTTTATGATATTGCATTAAGCTGAATACTTTGCTCTCTAAAACAAGACCAACCGCTTGTCAATACGATAATCCTAGGCTGAGATATTGGCTCTTCTCCTCCTACAGGCCTCACGGCGCCTCGCATCCACAATATTCACTATCCTTTTCGCGGTATTGACAAGTGGTTGGTCTTGTTTTAGAGAGCAAAGAACTCAGCTCAATGCAATACCATAAAATTATTATAGACTCGCAGGCAAAGTAGAATAATATTGTCGTGAAATAGCACTATTTTCCCGTTTGGGGTGGGGTTCCCCCGTTGTGGTGTGTGACGCCCCTCGTCTGACATGGTTGACTAACTCTACGACGCACCGAACCGGAACACGGCAGAATAGGTTATTGCGGGAGCGCAGTAGCTTCGAAGCGCTCGAGTGGCTAGCGGGGTCCGGGAGGCGACGATCACGGCCAGTACAACGTCTCCGGGCACAACGGGTGAGTGATATACCTAAGGTTGTGTGCTAGCCATTAGGTGTTGACCGGTGGCGCCATCGGGTGTCGCCGGGAAGCACGAAACGCTACACTTTATTCATGTCATGTAGTCTTGTATACTTTTTCACTGTAGTCGCGGCACACCGAATAATGACAGGCGACACATTTTCTTGTCTTCTACTCGTTTTATTTCGCACTCAGTACCACAGAGTGTAGCGCACACTGCAGTACAGGTGAAACTGCAACACAAATTCGTAATCTTTTTAAACCCAGTTCATTTACAGGTATTATATAATTTAACCAAACCCAAGCATTATATTTGATAGTCTCAGAACTAAAGAGTAAATTAAACTCTGTAACCTGTAAATTAGACCAGTTGCAGTGACATAAAAGAACAAATATAATACTCACAAGTATATACGAGCTCTCTTGCACAGAACATGCTGCGACTAACGTATCATGCCAAACTAAACTAGAAATGCCACGTCCTAAACCAGCCAAACCCCAGAGAAGCCGAATACTACATGAAAGGAGGCCCAGGACGAGCAAACCCGTGGTACGGTTCGATATATCGGAACGTAACCTGGTAGCTATCTGATATGGTTAGGGTTAAAGTTAGGGTTAGGGTTAGGGAGTAGGCGTAGGCGACTCCCTAGACTCGTTAGTGGAGTAGGCGAGGTACGGTCCTGCATATTAGATAGTACCATGGTACGTTCCTATATATCAAACCGTACCCAGGGTATCCTCCGATAGTACCCTGGGGGGGGCATAGACCCTCTCAGCGTAAGTCGTCATCAGAAATACCGATGGCGCAGTGTACGGTCTAGGGAATGCGCGAGCTGGCTGTCGCAGACGAATTGTTTGAATCGCATTGTTCGCTTGGGCGCACTGTGTTTTTTTTCCAGCTCGCAGCTCGCACGCCCCCAGATTCCCCACTGTATACAGTGTATTATATAATGTATATAGTGTATGAAGCCCAATGCAGGGTGCAAAATTAACGCGAGTCCGGATCGAGTCAAATACTCCCTGATTTACTGTCGAACTCCCTGATTTGACATATGCAGGAGCCCGTGTGACTCCCTGAAAATTAATTCTGCTATACAGTACTAACTATTTTTTCAGCAAGTGTTCCGAGAAAATTTGGCAGACG